TTGTCGGACTTGCTGCCAAGGTCCTTATCTGTTTGTTTGCTTGGCTTTCAGCCACCGAGATTCTGGTCTTGTTATTAAAGGACATTCTAACTAAGCTTGTCTCGGCTTTCGTTACTGGACGGAGGAGGGGGTCAGAACACTGTTTTATTAAATTATATCCTCCAAATTTGGAACCTTTCAATCTATAAATAATTTTTGATTTATTAAACTTGGACCATTGGAGAAAAGAGGATTAATATTTACATCCCAGACTCCTGATGTCTTAACAAAATCTTAACAAAATGTGCGCTCACATTTGCGAACGGTAGGGAAGGTAAGTGAATCTCACCCCTGACATCCCTCCAAAGTTAATAGTCTTTTATGTGACAAGTTTACTCACTCTTTCACTCACACAAGTGCAGAGGCCTGGTACTATAGCTCCCAGTCTGGCAAGCCAAGGTCTCCTTTCAGTTTAATATTTTGTAGAAGTTTCAGTCTTATTCTTGCTTTTTTCCCTTGCCAAATATAGTTTAGAATCATTTTGTTTAGTTCTTCAAAAAAAAATTTCTAATTTTATCAGAATTGTTTGAAATAGGAATAACAGTCTCGGCAAAATATTCATTTTTATTGTAGCTATTCTTCCTATCAATGATAGTTGTAGGTTTTCCATTTCTCCAAATCTAATTTAATTTGTTGTAATCTTCTATATATATAAAAGCCAACTACCACTCATTCATCATGAAATCTCCAGTAAAGCCAACAAACTTGAAGTTTGGCATGTATATTCCTCTTGGCTTCTAGGTGCTTGCTAACAAAGGATTTTTCAAAATGGCCATCAGATCATCAGTATTATATTAACACGTGTTGATGCTAAGGAGTTAGACGTTCTACTACACCTTCCTCTTGGTAGACTGGGTGTGGGTGTGGCCAGAGCGTGACTAATCCGGCCTGCGGGCTTTATGTTTATCACACCCTCACATAGTTTCGTAGGGAAGCACAGGTATCCAATTAGTAGTTTCATAGAATTATCTTCTTTTATAGTTGCGCATCTTGCTGTTAACTGAACTCCTAAGTATTTAATTTTCTTAACTACTTGAATATCTATTTTTTCCACTAACTCTTTTTTTGTTTCTCTGTGACATTTTAAACTAGTATTTTAATTTTCTCTTTATTCATTTTCAGTCTTGCAACTTCACCGTATTCTGCTATTATTTTTATTAACTTGGGTCCAGATTCTTGTGGTTCTTCTAAGATAAATGCCAGGTCATCTGCAAATGCCTGTAGCTTATATTCTTCTGTTTTTACTTCCATTCCTTTTATTTTTGAGTCTTGTCTAATGTTTCTATTAAGTACTTCCAATGTTAATATAAATAAGAGAGGGGACAAGGGACATCCTTGTCTTGTGCCTTTTCTTATGTTTAAGTGCTTAGTCACAACCATTACATTTGCAGTTTGCTTGGAATATATTGCCTCAATCATGTTAACAAATTTCTCCCCAAAGTCCATATATTTTCATTGTAATAATATAATTTGCCAATTTACATTATCAAATGCTTTCTGTGCATCTAAGAATATCAATGCCATTTGTTTTTCAGGATGCATTTCATAATATTCCAACGTGTTTAAAATGATTCTCATATTATTCCTAATGTGACTTTTAGGTAAAAATCCATTCTGATCTGAGTGTATAAATTCATTCAGGAATCTTTTTAAACTTTCTGCAATTATTGAGGCATATATTTTGTAGTCTGCATTTAATAGGGACATTGGCCTATAGTTTTTTATCTGCATTAAATCTAATTCTTCTTTCGGTATCATGGTTATATTTGCTTCCATCCATGTGTTTGGAATTTTGGCCGCTAACAGTTCTTCATTATAAACTTCCAACATTGGCAAACCCAAAGTATCTTGTGAACATTGATAAAGTTATGCCAGTAGTCCTTCTGGTCCTGGTGTTTTATTATTATTTTGTCTCTTGATCGCCTCGGTTAGTTTCATCATTATCTTTTTACTTAACATAACCTTCACTGTTTCTCATAATTTGGGTAATTCAACTTTCTCCAAATATTGTTTTATTTTTTCTTCTGACACCTCTCAATTATATAGTTTTTCATAGCAATTCTGGATTATTTTCTTTTTAGTTTAATTTTGATAGTGAAGGATTCCCTTGTCATATAGCAAGCTGTGTATCAATTTATTCTCTTTCTCCTTTTTCAATTTATATGCTAACCATCTTCCTGGTTTGTTGGCATTTTCAAAGTAATTTGAAGTAAATAAGTAAATCAGATCTGATATTGAAGCAGAAATCATGACTTAGGGTCAAAACAAGAAGAAATTATACACAATTGACTCAGGCAGACACCTAATTCACATGTATAAGGAGGGATATGTAAGACAAAATCTGATTTGAAAAATTGCTATCAGTTCCACTATGTAGTGTTGGAAGAACCCCTTCTGGGTCGGCTCCAAGTGGGGAAAAAGAAACTGGAGACAAGGAAGCTGTTTGGAAGATGGTTTAATATTGGACAGGACCACATGGCTTGAGTCCTGAACAGAAAAAGTGAACACATGCTTCAATGTTGGGGTGAAGAAGAAGAACAGAGAGGATGAGATGCTGAAAGTTCCTGGCTTTATACTCTCTATTTGACTAAGGTGAC